AACCTGCCCTTCAACACTGCCAGGGATGGGGCAGCCACAGCTTCCCTAGGCAACCTGGGCCAGTGTCCCACCACCCTCATAGCAAAGAATTTCCTCCTCATGTCCTGTCTCTCTTGTGTTCCAGCCCTGGCCCAGCGTGTCCAACCTGGCCAAGGACTTCATCGACCGCCTGCTCACGGTGGACCCCGGCGACAGGATGACGGCCCTGCAGGCCCTCAAGCACCCCTGGGTGGTCAGCATGGCAGCCTCCTCCTCCATGAAGAACCTCCACCGCTCCATCTCCCAGAACCTCCTCAAGAGGGCCTCCTCCCGCTGCCAGAGCACCAAGTCTGCCCAGTCCACCCGCTCCAGCCGCTCCACCAAGTCCAACAAGTCGCGGCGGGTGCGGGAGCGGGAGCTGCGGGAGCTGCACCTGCGCTACCAGCAGCAGTACACGGGCTGAGCACGGGTCCTGCTCTGCCTCTGCTCAGCCAGGAGCAGCCAGCCCACCCCATCTATGAGGAGGTGTCCCCCCCCCGACCCCGTGTGGAGCAAGGGGACCCTCGTGGTGGTCACCCCCGGGCCGGGGGGGCTGGCGCGGGTGGCAGGGGAGCCCCCGTGGGCTCCAAGCACAACTCGGAGCCTCCTGTGATCCCACCACGTTGGGGAGAAGAGCTCCTTCTGGAGCCCAGGAGCTTGGTTGTTCATAGTTATTTATTAATTCCGGAGCATGAAGTTTCTCTCATTTGCATGTGAAGGCCAAATATCCCCTTTGAGCGGAGGTGCAGGCAGGGGTGGGTGTGGGGATGGAGAAATGAAGTGGACACCAGTTCCCAGCTGGTTTAGTCAGACTCTGTGGTGGTGCCTTGAGGCTGGCATGAGTCACATGCAGGTGGAAGCAGGAGAGCTCTGAGCTCTGATTCATCTCACCCAGTGGTGCCACCTCCTCCTCATCCTGCTTCTAGGAGATGCCAGAGGGCAGCTGGACTGGGAAGCTGCAGGGTCCCCCCAGTGCTGCCCAGTGCCTGCTGACATGGATGGTGTGTGATGACAACGAGCTTGGAGCTGGGGTCTGGTTCCTTCATCTGGGCTGGGAGGGTCCTCCTTGTGAAGGGGTGGGAAGGGGGTCACTGTCCCTTTTCATGGGCCACAGGGAGGTGTCCTAGGCAGGTTTTTGGGGGGTTCCTTCCTGTCTCCCTTGAATTATCCTTCCACTGTTTGCAGCTAGAACAGTGTCTCCCATGCAGGGCTTGTTCCTTGCTGTGAGGTGGCCCTGTCATGTCTGTGACCTGTCACCCTTCAGACAGGTGTTGTCCACCCTGTCACTTCAGCAGAACCTCACTGTCTCCAGGTATTGGAATGTTTTTGGAATATAACTGGATTTTGCTCCCTCCAGCTGCCTGAGAGGAGGTTGGAGTGAGGTGGGGGTTGGGCTCTTCCACATAAGTGGTGATAGGATGAGAAGAAATGGCCTCAAGTTGCCCAGGGGTGGTTCAGATTGGATATTAGGAACAATTTCTTCCCCCAGAGGGTTGTCAGGCTGTGGCCCAGGCTGCCCAGGGCAGTGGTGGGGTCACCATCCCTGGAGATGCTGAAAAAACATGTGGATGTGGCACTTGAGGACATGGTTTAGTTGGTGGGGTGGGCTTGGGTTGGACTTGATGACCTCAGAGGTCTTTTCCAGCCTTGATGATTCCATGATTCTATGATTTCTCCCTGTCTGCAGATCTTCTGGGGCTGCCCTGACCTGCCTGCCTGTTCTGCCCTGGTACTGCCATCCCATCCCTGCTCTGGGACAGTGGGGTTGGTGGTGGGAGCTGTTGGGATGGCCACAAATGGCTCCAGAACATCAGGGTAGGGGCTGGAGTCACACAGGTCTAGTTGTAGAGTGCTAATGCCCTGGAGATGTTGTACAAACCCCTCAGAGCTGTCAGATGTGCCTTAAATCCAACAGGAAAAAGCTGCTTTTCAGGTTTCCTTGTGCTGGGTGGGTGATGTGGGGCCTTCTGCGAAGGACCTCTCAGGAAAGGTGGGTGCTGGAGAGCTCAGCTTGGCCTTTCCACCCAGGATTGGTGCCAGCAAGATCTTCAGTGGTCACTCACAGCTCCAGGGAGCTCTGGCTCCACTGGCCACAGGTCAGAAGACAACTGTGGTGGGAAAAGACTTGAGTTTTCTGTGTAGTGGGAAAAAGGGAATTTCCAGGGATGTGCTTCAGATCCCAGAGCTGGGATGGGCCATGACCACTTCAACACTGCCAGGGATGGGGCAGCCACAGCTTCCCTGGGCTAGTGCCTGAACCAGGCAGGTTGCCACGTCTTGCTTCATGAACAGTTGGGTGCCCTGTTTGTTTTTCCAAACAGCTCTGCCCCAGCAGCTGCTCCAGAATGAGTATCAACTGGAAAATGGTTCCTCAAAGAGGGCAGGATGCTCTCTCAGGGGGCTCTCCTAAGAGTCTTCTGTGTGTCCCAAGCATCCCACCCAGGCACTGTGACCTCTTTTCCCTGCTGGGTGCTTTTCATGGTCCTCCCCAGACTATTTTGCATGTTTAGTCTTAAATAGGTATTTTGCTTGTGTCAGGAGCCTGATGAACTGAGCCGAGTCCTCTGGAACCCAACACCCTTTCAGCACTGGTCCATCATATGATCTTTAAGGTCTTTGCTAACCAAAATTATTATATAACTTGGATATTAGGGAAAATTTCTTCATGGAAAGGGTTGTCAGGCCCTGGAGTCCCCATCCCTGGAGGGATTTCAAAGCCCTGTAGATGTGGTGCTGAGGGACATGGGGCAGTGGTGGCCTTGGCAGTTGGACGTGATGATCAGCTCAAGACCAACTCCTGGGCTGCTTTTCTCCTTGCAGTCATGGCCCATTTTCAGCTGGATCTGGGGTGGGGACAGTCAGTGGGCTCTAATTGTGAGCAGTAGTTGAGGTGCCTTCAGTCTGTCCTCTGCAAAGCTCTTCCCTGGGAATGGTCTCCATCATCTGCCCTCGGATACACCCCCAGGAACATCTCAGCTCTCCTTTGATCTCAAGTCTCAGGAGTTTCCACTTTCCAGCAGTGCCTTGTTTGGGGATTTTAGAAGTTAAAGTCTCTTGAAATGTTTCTTGTTTGTTTGTTTGTTTTCTCCTTCCCTGGCTTTTAATGGTGGTTCCTCATTTGGCTGGTGGTGGTTTTTGGAAGAGTTCCTCTGGTGCAGACCTGGCCAGGAGGGGGCAGGTAACAGATGCAGGTTCCAGGCCATTGCTGAGCTGGGCTCCAGATCCCCAAGGGCCTTATTTTTCCAGACTCTTGTTCAGGCAATGGAAATGAAGCTGGAATGACACCTAGTGGTAAATCCTTTAGGTAAATCCTAAAGTGTGTGTCCCAGCACAGCCCTCTTTGGGTCACCTTCCCACTGCTTCTGGCTGAGATGTTCTTACCAAGAAGAACCTGGGGCTGAGGGCTGGTCCTGGCCCACACCTGCAGCTCTGGATGTTCCCCAGCTTGCCCAACGTGGTGTCATGTTCTCCTCTCCTGATCCCCAAGAGCAGCTTTTTCAGCCCAGGATGAGTGTGAGTCCCTGGGCAGCCACTGGAAGGGACCTTCAATGCTGGGGAAAAGACAAATGTGGTCACCCCACCAGTGTGTCCAGGAGAAGCTCAGCAGCACCCTGGGCACATCCTGGGGGACACTAGGAGAGAGAAAAGCCCAAAGGTGCTGAGGCTGGAACCAGTAGGTTTGGGATTTACATGTTGCCCAGGGAAGCTGTGGCTGCCCCATCCCTGGCAGTGTTGAAGGGCAGGTTGGATGGGGCTTGGAGCAGCCTGGGCTGGTGGGAGGTGTCCCTGCCCATGCAGGGGGGTGGGACTGGATGATCTTCAAGGTCCCTTCCAACCCAAACCATTCAATGACTTTCTCCCATCACAAGACACGATGGAGCAGCTCAGGGTGTTGCTTCCCAGCAGATTCTGTTTCAGGGAGAAGCAGATTTAAGGAGCAGAGGGAATTGCAGGTGTTTGTCTTTTGGAACTTAGCTGTGCTGTGGGAAACAATTCCATCACTTTGTCCTGGCACGTTGGCTGTTCTCCTCAGGGAGGGAATTACAGCTTCAAAGCATGTGGCCTGTTGGTTCCTTGGTTTGTTTTGGGTGGGTGTTTTTGGAGGGTTGTTGGAAGTGACTGTGAAAAGGTCTTCCAGAATCAACATCAGGTGGTCTGCAGGCTTGTTCAGCCAGGGTTTTGGAGCACATCCTGTGTTCTTCCATTTAGCATTTTGCTAAAGGAGCAGCTACTTTTCCATGCCTGATTTACTTCTCACCTTCCTCAGGCTTCTGAAAAACTTCATGTGTCATCCCAGTGGTGGCAGAAACCCCCCTTCTTGCAACCCAGAAGAAACGGGTGCTATTTAAGCCCCAGATGGTGATAGCATCTGGATGCTCCTGCCAGTTCCTGGACTGTTGTTCCTGGAAAGGCAGAGGCCTCCATGAGGGACAGATTGTAGCCCATGAGGAGAACCAGCCCAGACTGAAGGGCTCTGACCCTTCAGGAGTGATATGGAAACCAGCTACCGGCTGGAGCCTATGGGACCTGGTTTTTTTGGAAATGATAAAACCCTCAAACTCTGAAGTTCTTTGACACTGGGGTATTTTCTTTGGTCAGGAGCTTCTGCTTTTTCTCATACCCTGCTCCATTCCTCAGCCCTGCTCTACCCAAGTGTTTGGCTGAAGCCCTGATCTGGTCAGCGGTGGTGTTGGGTTGATAGTTGGACTTGATGATCTTAGAGGTCTTTTCCAGCCTTAATGATTCTGTGATTCTAACTATGGGATGCACAGACTGGAATGGGAAGGGTGGTAGCTCAGCTGCTGGGCAGCAGCTCTGGCTCTGGCTCTGCAGGAGCCCTGGCAAGTCCTGGAGCCAGGCAAGAGCATCCCTGGTGCCCTGAAGGTGGGAGGAGGCTCCATGTGAGGACCCCAGAGTGCAGGCTCAGCTCAGGGTGATGTACAAAACAGGACAAGGAGTTCAGGGCAGTTACAGGTCTCTTAGAGTCCGTGTGGGGGCACATACCTGCTTTAAGTGATGATGCTAAAGCTGTGGAGGGTTTGGGGCAGAGTAACTAAAATTCTCAATTGACTTTCCTCAATGAAGCAAAGCAGCCCAGAGATGGGCTTTGGGTGGTAGTGGGGGAGATCACACTTTCTGGAGGAGTCAAGCAAGAGTTTTCTGGCAGCAGGTTGAGCCCTGGGGTTTGCAGGGAGGGTGGTCATGGCCCAGCTCAGCTTCACCCCTAGGAAACACCACCAAGTGCCTTCAACTTCTCAGGGCCAGATTCCCAGCCCCAGGTTCCCTGCCCCCAGCCCCCTCGGGGGAGGGTTTTGGTGCTTTTCTCTCGCCACCGGGTCTCTCCTCTTTCAGCCTGGATGAAAAATGCAGCTCTTGGGTGCTGGGGAGGAGGGTGCAGGGCTAGCAGAGCTCTGTGCTGTGCCCTGAGGTTGCAAACAACAAATCCATGTGAAGCAGCAGGGCTTGGTGCCTCCCTTGTCCCTGAGGAGCCTTCCCGGTGACAGCTCCTCCTGGTGTCCTGCAGGGCAGGGACAGGAGAGCTGCTGTGGCAGGAACCAGTTGCACTGGGTTTCTCTGCTGGAGCTGGGAGAGATCCCACCCCCACCAGGTGCCTGTAGGAAAAGAGCAGCTCCCCTGGGGACACCCAGAAGTTTTCCTGTTGCCTTTCACTACAGAAAGACACCTCCTGGGAAGCTCTGGGGCCCGGCAGCTCTTCCGGACCTCGCTGTTATTTTTGGTCACCAATTTCCCTCTGCTGAGTTGGAACAGTTTGGAAGTGACTCTGGTCATGTTCCTGTAGTTTCCAGAAGGATCCAGACTTGCCTTTGGAGTCCACGAAGGACTGTCTTATAGGATGAGGTCTGAACTCATTGTAATTAGTCTGTAATGTTAATGATTAGAGTGTACAGAGTTATTTATTTTGTGTACTCTGCCTGCTCAACATGTCAGTGTATTCCCTGTGTCCTGTCACTGCTTCCTCCTGCCTCATGGATCTGTGTGTGGCCAAGAGCTGCTGCTCCTCCTGCACGTGAGTGATGGGCACTGAACACATGGATATGGGTGATTCCCCCTCTACTCTGGTGAGACCCCACCTAGAGAACTGTGCACAGCTCTGGAGCCCAAACATTAGGTCATGGAGCTCCTGGAGAGACTCCAGAGGAGGCCACAGAGATGATGGGAGGGCTGGAGCAGCTCTGCTCTGGAGCCAGGCTGGGAGAGTTGGGGTGTTCAGCCTGGAGAAGAGAAGGCTCCAGGGAGACCTTAGAGCAGCTTCCAGTGCCTGAAGGGGCTCCAGGAAAGCTGGGGAGGGACTTGGGACAAGGGCAGGGAGGGAGAGGACAAGGGGGAAGGGATGAAAACTGGAAGAGGGAGATTGAGGTGAGACATGAGGAGGAAATTGTTTGGTGTGAGGGTGATGAGAGCCTGGCCCAGGTTGCCCAGGGAAGCTGTGGCTGCCCCATCCCTGGCAGTGTTGAAGGGCAGGTTGGATGGGGCTTGGAGCAGCCTGGGCTGGTGGGAGGTGTCCCTGCCCATGCAGGGAGTTGGATCTGGATGATCTTTAAAGTCCCTTCCAACCTAAACCATTCTGTGGTCCACCCCTGTGGACCCACCTTCTCATGGAAGGGAGGAGGAACCCCATCCCAGCAATGACAGGGTGACACAGGGACAAGAGTGCCCTGAACACACAGAGCAAGTGACCTGTACTGCTGTCTGTAGCTGATCAGTTCCTCTTTGAGGCTCCATGTGGACACCAGTTTCTTCTGCCCTGAGGTTCAGCTGCCTCTAAGGTCACTGAGGAGCTCACTACAGCTAAAAAAAGCATGAGCTGCTTGCCCGTGGTGGGTCTTGTTTCAGGTACAAGGAACAAAAGCCACACTCTGAATGTCGTGGTGGGACCAGTGTGTACCCAGTGCAGCTGCTGCCACCAGATCTGTGAGGAGCTCAGCCCCCGTGTCCTCCTCCCCAACGTCCCAGGTGAGGCTTTCCAAGGCACAGGAGCCCCAACCCCTGTGGAAGCCCCACATGGAGCTTCCAACCAGCAGCTCCATGGGTTTCTCTGCAAGCTCCTCTTGCCTCACATCCCTTGGCTCCTTCTCCCAGCAGGGCAGGCCACCAAATGAAGCTAAATTTCATCCAACCAACCCAAAACCTAACCAGCCCTGGGCTGCATTTCAGCAGCTTCTGGTATTTTGTAACTCAAGGGAATGGGCCAGATTGTCTGGGACCTAGAACCCTTCCCAGGAGCGTCGTTGGCTCCGTCACCGTCACACCAGGGTCAGCACCAGCGGGGTGGGTCCCAGCTGGGCACTGAGCTGCAGCTCTGGGAGCTGCTGGGGCTCCGGAGAGGGTGACCCCCCCACGGGGTGTCCCCGGGCACCTGCCCCCCGAGGGAAGGAAGGAAGGAAGGAAGGAGGCACGGGCAGCTGCCGAGGCTTTATTCCCCAGCGGGGCGTTGTTCCCAGCCCCCCGGGCAGGGGCTCCTCAGCTCCTCTAGCCCCGGGCAACCACGGAGTCGATCCAGGCGCGGAAGGCGCTGACGCGGGTGTAGATGGCCGGGGTGCGGACGTCGCAGTTGGTGGTTCCCCAGGACACGATGCCCATCAGGGCCCAGCCGCTGCCGCTCCTGTACACCAGGGGTCCCCCGGAGTCGCCCTGCAGAGAAGACCCTGCTCGCTGGTCCCAGCACGGGATGCAAACTGGGCGCTGGGCTGGAGCTTCAGCCTGTGGCTCCGGGGATGCAGGGACAGGTGCCCAGAGAGGTGGTGGAGTCTCCTTCTCTGGAGCCTTCCCAGCCCTGTCTGGATGCCTTTCTGAGTGACCTGCCCTGGTTTTGCTCCTGCTCTGGCAGGGGGTTGGACTGGATGATCCCTGGAGGTCCCTTCCAACTCCTACACGCTGCGATTCTGGGAAGACTCCACGTCTCCTCCTCCCGTGGTCCCAGCACGTTCTCCGGGCTGGTCCCTCACACCCCTGCACCTCGCCAGGTGCTGGAGCTGGCTCCGTGGGTGCCAGGCTCCGTGTGCCCTCCTCCCGTGTTCCCCACAGCACAGGAGCTCAGGTCCGTACCTGGCAGGAGGAGGCTCCGACCCCGCCGGCACAGATCATGGAGTTGGTGATCCTGTTGCCCCAGTACTGCATGCACTGGCTGATGGGGATCAAGGGCACGGTGACCTGCTGCAGGCGAGTGGCCAGGGCTTGGGCTGCGGGAAAGAGCCACCATTAACTCACCGCAGGGTTGGAAGGTCTCCTGGGGCCTCGGGGAGCACCCGGGGACCCTGGGCGAGCTCCTGTGGTGATTCCAGACACGTGGGTGCTGCTGGGCAGGCACCTTCCCTCTCTGTGCCTTCCTGGGGTGGGATTGTCTGGTGCAGGCAGCCCCCAGCACGGGGTGGGTGCCCAGGCACAGCCAGAGAATCCCAGGATGGTTTGGGTTGGAAAGATCTTAAAGTCCCACCCCCCCCCTGCATGGGCAGGGACACCTCCCACCAGCCCGGGCTGCTCCAAGCCCCATCCAACCTGCCCTTCAACACTGCCAGGGATGGGGCAGCCACAACTTCCCTGGGCAACCTGGGCCAGGCTCTCACCACCCTCACACCAAACAATTTCCTCCTCATGTCTCACCTCAACCTCCCTCTTCCAGTTTTCATCCCTTCCCCCTTGTCCTCTCCCTCCCTGCCCTTGTCCCAAGTCCCTCCCCAGCTTTCCTGGAGCCCCTTCAGGCACTGGAAGGTGCTCTAAGGTCTCCCTGGAGCCTTCTCTTCTCCAGGCTGAACACCCCAACTCTCCCAGCCTGGCTCCAGAGCAGAGCTGCTCCAGCCCTTGGACCATCTCCATGGCCCTGGAGTTTCCACCCACCTCCCGACCACTCACACCCGCACTTGCACCAACACACACATCCACACGTGCACACCCAGAGTCACTCAACTGCCCAGCTCCCCACTTGGTGTCACCCCCCGCACCCCGGGCCCTGCAGAACCCCGGGCAGCGCCCGGAGGGGTACGTACAGTTGGGGTTGGTGCGCCCCCAGCCGGTGGTG